CCGCTTAGCTGAGACACACAAAGCGTTTCCACAGCCCGCTGCCGGGCAATCCCGGGTCAGTTGGAAAGTTTGACTTGGTTTGCTGGGATATCCGCTTTGCAGACAGATTCGTGTCGACATCAGCAACAACGGGCAATCATATTGCAAATCGTCGTGGCGTATCACTATTAATTCGGGCGAGCTAGGCACCAGAGGCCCTCTCGGTGACCTTCGTTTGAAAAGTCGCATTGGTAGTTGATTCGCGAGCTGCCGATGAGAGTGAGACAGGCTTTGGGGAACTGTTGATGGCTGAGTGCCCACAGCTCAATTGGTTTATGTGGAGGCTACGGACATCGGATATGTCGGACCCCGTTCGTACAACAATATGCCTGTGTGAAAATCGGGTGTTATCAGTGTTATCAATATTTGGCGATCGGTGCGGGCAAGCAGGAGCTCTGCCTGTCGCACAGTCCGACCATGTCCGACCCCTGAAGGAAGAAACTGAATTGACATCATAGCCTGGAACATGTGTTTGCGCCAGGTTGATGTGGCAGTTCCGGCCTCAGAAAACCTAGGCCTGCTGCCATCTTCTAGTATTGGTTTCCACCTCAAGGGCTCAGCCGAGTGCTTCTGCACGCCCAGATGATGCCAATGTCGTTTACCAGTCGGCCCGTCCATTTCTCCATAACCTCCACGAGCCAACTCCCGGCGACGTCTATTACAACTACAGCAGCGACCAACTCCACGTCCAGCACTCGCATCCTGGCTTGGCTTCTGTGCTGCAGGGCGGTCGATAAACTCTGCATTTCGAGCTTCTGAAGGCTTCATGGCCATGCCGGCAGGGCCTCCCTTGAAGCTGTCTGCGACGAGCAACTCCTCACAGGTGCAATTTGCTGAACAACTTCGCGTTATGTTGGTCTACATTGCATGCTTTGCGAGCCCAGGGCCACGGCCCAGATCCATTCGTAAATTCTGAGACTGCTTAACAGTGGACACTAGCATAGAGTGACTTCGAAGCAAAATTGCAATACACCAAATATTCCCGAATGCAGACATTCATGCAGAAGAGCGAGTGTCGCTGCGTACGGCACATCCGCTAGGCTCAAAAGATCTGAAGAGTCGAGAACAGCAGGTCATGTTGTGTATGCAGAACATGATACAAGCTGCGCGGATGCCGCCGTTGGTTTTGGGTTTTCAACGAGGTATCTTTCCAAAGATATACTTTGCTGTCGAAGTCTTGGCCACTGACTTGATTCATCCTTTTATCTTGCGCAGTCCAAGAACATTTGTCTTTGTGCTCCCTGTCGTCTCCACAGTCGATTTTTGAGCAAAGACTGGCCGCAGCGAAGACGCTCATTTGTTCGCGGAAGATGTGAAGACGGGCTATTAGCCGGAGACACGACACCACATGAACGCAGGCGTCCATGCAAACGAGCTCTGGTTCTGAAGTCATGAGCACCCCATCACATGATTTTCTGAGTTTAAGGTATAATGTGCGCCCGTGCAGGAGGCGGCTCTCCCGGACTCTGACACTGGGCAACACCACCGCCACCGGCCTGCAGCATCCTGCAGCCGTACGAAAAACCGCCTCGCCTTGTCCTCTCGCAAGGACAAACGATTGGCTTGCTTGTGTTTCTGAGTCTGGCCGTCGCCGACTCGGAGTCTTCGAGCTCTTCTTCCTCTTGGATTCCCCGTTTCCACAACTTAACTTCTTTGCTTTGGCTACGATTGGCGCTTAAGTGTTCGTGCACCTGGCTTTTGTCCACCCTGCTGGTGTTTGCTTCCACGCCCAGCCCGAGGCGTGTTTGTGTTGCATGGAGCTGCTTCACTGCGTGGCCGGGCCAAAGAATCATACTAGCAACCAGATTTCTCCAAAGCAGCCACGGTGTCCACACATGCCGCCATGCCCAAGGCCTGGAAATCAAGCGCCCGAACGATCATTTTTCGGTGACTTGGACTTCCAGTTGTGAGGCTGTAGGCACCGTAAGGCGGAGAACTTGGTAGCGAGGACTTCTCCCGTCTGAGAGGTGCTGGAAGGTGCCCAATGGCATGGCTAATGGGATGCAGTCCGACACAAGTGACAGCGAGGATGCCTCGGATGAAGATGCAAGCAAGTCCAGCTGACTCTGCGTGCGGGCAAAAGGGTGCTACAGATGTGTCGGGGACAGAGAAGGGTACCATGTAACTAACCAGGTAAGGTTGATGGAACGGACAGTCTCTTTGATCAGCTTGTGGCATGCACGATTCTGCAGACAAGGTTTGAAAGAGCCGCACGGGTAGATTACCGGGCAGATGCTTCTGTGCGTAGACGGCTGAGGTGTTAATGCCGTGGCGAGAAGAGGCCGCGCAGACAACACCGGCCGCCTGCAAGCTTGCATAGCAGTCGGTGGCAAAGTCCAGGTTGCTGCCATAGCCTGCCAGTTCATGGGTGGTGTGGCGAAACTGGGTCGCACAAGTCAACGTAGCAGGATGCGGGTGCTGCAAAAGCCATGACCTGGATGGGAAGGACTGGTGCAGCCTGGGCCAGCGTCCTCTTCGGGGATGCGGCCCCTCGTGGAAGGCCAGGCTGCTGTCGAGGCTATTATTAGATGGGCTAACGTTGGTTGAGGGCTTCGAAGTCGTTGGTGATTCCTGAGCCGCCAGCTGCCAGTCCGTCCAAACACCTGGTTGAGGGCTTTTGAGTCAGCTGAGCGCCACGCGTTTTGGGCTTTTACTAATACGATCTCTTACTAAAGCGTCAATCCTGCTGGATTTGGTCGGTCGAGCATGGGCTAGGGAATCACGAGCGAGACACAGCGATTGGGGGCAGAAGATCAAGCAGGAACATCATCGCATCGCAGCGCACCGCCTTGTCAACGCTCCACTCCGAAGCCGAAGTCATTCTCGTTCAGCTCCTCCGATTGTGCCACTGCAGACTTCCGGTCATGATGCCGGAGACGAGTGCTGATGTCATTCCTGTCGGGCAAGATGAAGAAGTTGTGTATTCCGAGGACTGCAGTGTTATGTTGCAGGCATGCTTTGATCTCCATTGTGAATTGTAATCTGAAAGACTTGACGCTTTTTTCCTGTTTGCAGGGCCTGCTCACATCCTATAGGTCCCCGACATTTCGCGCACCAGCCTTACCGTCAGGCAAAGAATGCAGCAGGCTGTTTCCGGGTACCTCCTCAGGCAGCGTTTCCCTTCGGCCATGGTTTGACTTTCACAAGCTTCGAGCTGCTGAGACGGAAACCAGCTTTTGTCTACACTGCCATGAAGTACAGTTTCGAATCCCAGGTATTCAGGACCGCATCGTCTCGACAAGGACTGTGGCGCGGCAGTGTGTGTGGCAGTCCTGGTCAAGAACGTGGGGCAGCGGTCCGGTGAGGAGCTTGTCCAGGCGGGAGCTGCCCAATGGACTGTAACCGCGCAATGTTGTTTAAGAGATTTGCAGGCCCCTTATGCCAATTGCCGATAAACCTTGGCTCGCATGACCGGCAGGCCTACGTTCATTTCGCTGACCCTGTTGGTGGAGATGAGCCCTGGCTAACTTGCTCTGCGCATGCACAACTAGTGATCTGAACTGCAAGGACCGAGCAACAAGAGCATTTGTCGTAATCCCTGTTGACGACACGCATATACCATGCGGAGCGAGATCCGTCGACAAACGGATTCCCAAAAATACTGTCGGCAACAGATATGAACCGTCCCCAGCTGAGGAAGCGTGGATCCAGGCAACTCCGGCGTTTGGGCAGCACTGTCCGAAACATTATCCGCCCTATAAGTGAGTGGGGATCTTGTGACTTGCTTCTCGGTGACGATCGCACGAAGATAAAGCTGAGGATATTATGCTGAAAGCCTTCCGACGGACGAAGGCTTTTGGAGTGTGCTTAAAGCAAGCAGCAGTTGTCCTTGGAAGCTACTTTGGTTGCGCGTGCGTGCGCGTGCGTGCCAGTGTGTGCGACTATGCACGGGTGCGAGCGGGTGCGTGCGTGCGTGCGAGTGAGGCGCATCGGCCCCAGAATGTCTAAGCACATGTGAGGGTGCAAGCCGTGCTCCCACCACCACCACCACCACTCAGTGAAGGTGCCCCCCGGAATAGTTTGGGTCGACGCGGACGGAAAACATGCGAATACCGCGAAACGATGCGAAACGCTGTTTGGTTTGGCAGCCACTGGTGCAAACAGTGCACTCGCAGGAAAAACAAGGAAAAAGACGGAGACTTCAGGAAACTCGAAACGACAGACACAGAGAGACACGTTGACAAGTCTGAGCACGTCGGCTTTGCCTTCGTTGCCCTGCTACTGTCGTACACGGGCATGCTGCAGGTACTGTCGGGGCCCGGGACATGCGATGCTTCAAGATTCAAGACGGACATGATGAATAATACTTTGAGGGCCCGCTCAAGCAGACAGTTCGACAGGGTTTCTGTGACCTTGCAGGTTCTTCATCCAGGTGAGTCCCAGACGGTCCGCTTCGATTTTTCGGCTAGCGACATGAAGTTGTTTTGCTCGGGACGTGCCTTGGTCAAGTTGATGCAACTCTAGAACCTTTTCGAATCTCCAGAGATAGATTGAGCTTGAGGTGGATGGGCAGCTTACCTGCATTTGGGATTTTAGAGAATCGCGGACCAGGTGTGACGCAGTTGCCAAGTTGCCATGGTAACTGGTGCACATCGCCGCGAAGCACGGATGCAAGAACTCGTAGGCGGAGTAGAATCAACACTATATTACATCTTTGAGGTCACGACAGAGATATGATGAGATATGTGCAAAAAGGCGACAACGCAGCGACCGCCAAACATAACGGCACAAATTTCAGCACCCAAGTGATGTATGAAAGACTTTGCGAAGGTTGCTCAGCAGAAGATCGAGGTCCGCTTTGGTGCATCCAGCAAAGACATCCGTCAAACGCTCGCAATGGAATTGGCCGAGTCTGAGTGAGAAGCTTGAGCCGACATCGACTTACGAGGTGGCAATGAGGAGCTAAAATGTCTGCCAAGTATGCACATTGCCCTCAGCCCTGCACAAGCTTTGCAGATTCCGCAACAGCATTGCGCCTGATCCACACAGGGCCTGTAAAGTAGGTGGGATGCAGATTTCGTATTCTTGGTGAACACGCTGAAACTGACTCTGCGGTGCAGGTTGTAAAGTCCTAGCGGTCCTAGCAGCTGTAGTTTCGTAAATCGTGTCCGCAAGAGCTTGGGACGGAGTTCTGCAAACTTGGTAAGGCTCAGCACAGAAGGGTTGTCCGGCGAGAACGTCTTTGAAGCGTTGGTGTTTGCAGTCTGTACGGTAGCAGGTACCCAAGCTCCAGTGCCTTTTCACCAACAACATCGCACCTGGCTTAGCTACATCAGAGGCTGCCCAAGCTGAAGCTTAAATGCTCTTTTCCCCTGCCAGCAGCTCGCCGGCCATCGCCTCCAGCGCCTGCGAGCAGTGCGAGCCGTTCCAAACTGAGCTGGGTTGGGCTAATCTCTGACTTGCTGCTGTTCATGATCCGGTTGGCTCGATTTGTACAAGCCAGAAGGTGGCACTCTTCGGCACTCCAGCCTTTGCTGTCTTGTAGCAATAGACGTGCCGGCACTGACGGCTGCACTTGGCCAGGCTAGGGGACCTTTCAAGAATAGTTCCAAAGTGTTCCTTGTCCCAGAAGAACTCAGGCACCCATCGATGTCGACCGAGAATTCGCCGGAACACAGAGGTCTTTTGGAACGGTCATGACTTGTGCAACGGGCTGCTTCTGTTTGCACTAATTATACCGAGCTGAGTTGATGTTGTGTCGGGCCCCAGGCGAGACTGCAAGATGGCCCTTGCTGCCCTTGCATTCCTTGTGCCTGTGGCTCAGCGTAGAAGGGGGAAGCTCCAAGCAAAACACTATACGCAGCAGCTGCAAGTCTTGCAACGCGTAAATTCGCATGATCGCACGATGTTCAACGGCTTAAAACCCGCTGTGCTGCAGAAGAGAAACTTAGCGAAAAGCACGGCAGGACAGGCCAGTCACGTCGGTCCGCCATCGGTCACATTGGACATGGTAGTGACTTGTTGGTACAGCTTGCTCATGCAAGAGAAAGAAGTTTAAAATCTTGATGATTTACAAGTGTGCTGAACGGTGTCCTGCTCCAGTACATCCACGGCTTACCCCACTGCAAATGGATGTCAGTGCTTCAGGTGGCTAGAGAGGCTACTGAGGCGCTTGGAAGTGCCGACATCGGTGCTCTCAGCATGTCCCAGCACCGCATGCCAAGCAGGCGTCATCCTGATGGACGCCAAGTAACAAATGAGTCGTTTGCGAATGGTCGCATGTGCAGAAGAGGAAGAAGTCCCTGCAGGATCGAGGAAACAACAGTTCCAAGCGCATAAATAAACCATGCAAATTATGCGGATGTTTCGCGCCGGTGCACGCGCAAGCCGCAAGTAGGCATCTGATACTGTAGTATTTGAGGCATAGCGGATGTCGGCATGGCGGCCATCCGGGATGTGGTGGCTTAGCTGACCTAGTGGCATGACAGCCCGAGCTTGAGCCGGCAGACGCTGTCACTAGAGCCATCTAGAGCCAAGCTCACTCGTTGGGAGAGGCATCAAGATTTTGTCGTGAAGCCTATGTTGACCTCCTGCTAAACACTGCTGACAGTTACTGAGCAATTTGCGGTTGCCACCGGTTTTGCTCCAGTGTGCTCCAGCCTTTTGATTATAAGTAGTTGTGACGCAGTAGACCGCTGCTGTAAATCGCGCACTTCGCTAATTCGGTGTTTTCTGCTTTTGATGCGATATGTTGCCTCTTCCCCCACTTCCCCCACTAGAAAAGCCCGCATATTCCGACGAAAACAGTATGATCGAGTTTGATGCACCGCAAGGTGTGCGTTTTCTGTTCCTGTGGTTTCAGCGATACATCTATACCTTTTCCACTAGCATGGATCAGGGCGAGTTCTGTCGGGGCGATCGGGCCAGAAGCATGAGTGCACTGAGTCCTTGCAAACTAAGGCCCGGACCGTGGTAGCGGAAAGACTGTTTGAACGTGCCGGGGAATTACCCCGAATGCAGAGCCATGGCTCTTGCACGCTTGGTGTAGCTTGTGTCACTGTGTTAAAGCATTACAGGTAGTCATCCTAGTGCCTTTAGAATGAGGTCAAGAGAAGCTTCGTAATCCACTTCGCAGATTCTACTGTGAAAGGTGAAAGTCGTTAC